AAGGATAGGAAAATACAAAAAGAAACCAAGACAAAGGGGACTAGCTCAACCAAATATTAAAATATATTGTAAAGCCTCTCTAAATAAAACAGTGTGGTGATTGGAACATAAATAGATAGACTGATGGAATAGAATAAACCCAAGTAAACATGGAAATTAGTATATGACAAAGATGGCATCTCAAATAATTTGGGATGAAGATGGACTTTGGTTATAAATGATGCTGAGACAACTGATTGGCCATTTGGAAAAAATAAAATTATATCCATGACTAATGCTGAACATAAGAGTAAACTTCAAATGCATTAGGAAAATAAAAGTAAAAAAGGAAGCTATACAAGGATTAGAATAGAAAAAAGTGAACTCTTCTTTAACATTAACATAGGGAAAAGCCTTGAAATTATAAAAATTATTAAATTATCAAAATCCAGAGGCAATACATTAAATACTTATAAATGTGACTATGCAAAGATACAAAATTTTGTATGGCAAAAAAAAAAAATACTATTTGATTAGCACTTATTCTGTTGATAAGACTTTGTGGAAGCAGGCATTCTCTTATTTGGTGGTGGAAATACAAACTGGTACACCCTTTTGGAGGAGGATTCAGCAAACAAGTAAGCATAACAAAAATACACATGTAAATACTTTTTGATCCAGCAATCCCACTGCTAGGAATTTACCTTGAAGATACACCTATAACAATATGAAAATATATATGCACATTGCAGGGTTGTTTGTAATTGCAAAATATTGGAAAAAACCTAGATGCCCATACATCGGAAACTGTTCAATAAACTGTGGTAATCCAGAAAATGCTGTAAGAAATAATGGTCTCTATGAACTGCTGTGGATGTATCTTTAAGTGAAAAGAGCAACATGTAAAAGAGTATTTAGTATGATACCTTTCAGCTAAAAAGGGAAAATAAAATATACATATATCATTTGTGAAAAAGAAACAGGATGGTAGAGCATCAAGTGGACCAGTAGTAGGGGAATCCCAGAAGAAGAGAGAGAGAGAAAGGAGCAGAAAGCTATTTTAAAAACTAATGGTCGGGCGCCTGGGTGGCTCAGTTGGATAAGCATCTGCCTTCAGCTCAGGTCGTGATCCCAGAGTCCTGGGATTGAGCCCCGAGTCAGGCTCCCTGCTCAGGAGGGAGCCTGCTTTTCCCTCTGCCCCCTCCCCTGACCTGTGCATGTGCTCTCTGTCAAATAAATAAAATCTTAAAAAAAAGCTATGGTCAAAAACTTTCAAATTTAGGGAAGGAAATGGACATCCAACTCCAAGAAGCCCAAAAGTCTTCAAAAAAAGGATGAATCTAAAAAAGTCCACACTGACACACATTATAATCCAACTGTCAAAAGCTAAAGACAAAGAGAAAATTTCTAAAGCAGACTTACAAGAAATGCTAAAGGGAGTTCTTCAACTTGAAACAAAAGGATTCTAAACAGCAACACAAAAGCATATGAACTGTAAAACTTGCTGGTAAAGGTAAATATAGAGAGAAATGCAGAATACTGTAATACTGTAATGGTGGTGTATAAATCACTTTTAGTTCAAGTGTAGAAGTTAAAATACAAAAGTATAAAAAACTATAACTATAAAAACTATAAAAAAAACTATAAAAATACATGAAGTGGATACACAATAAAAAGATGTAAAATTTGACATCAATAACATAAAGTGTTTGGGGAAGAGACATAAAAGTAAAGAGTCTTGTGATTGAAGTTAAGTTTTTATCAACTTAAAACAGAGTGTTAAAAGTATAAGAAGTTTTATGTAAGCCCCATGGTAATTACAAAGAAAATGCCTACAGAAATACACAAAACACACAAAAGAGAGGCACCTGGGTGGCTCAGTCGATTGAGCATCGGACTCTTGATTTCAGCTTGGGTCATGATCTCAGGGTCATGGGATCGAGCTCCTCGTCAGGCTCCATGTTGGATGTGTAGCCTGCTTAGGGTTCTCTCTCTCCCTCTGCCTCTACCCCTCCCCCTCCTCACTCACTCTCCCTCTCTGAAAAGAAAGAAAGAAAGAAAGAAAGAAAGAAAGAAAGAAAGAAAGAAAGAAAGAAAGAAAGAAAGAAAGAAAGAAAGAAAGAAGGAAGGAAAGAAGGAAGACACAAAAGAAAGTGAGGAAATGAGAAAGCAATCAAAGCATGCTACTGAAAATAATAATAATAATAAAAAAAATCAATGAAGCCCAAAGGAAGACAGCAAGAGAGAAAGGACAGGACAAAAGAGCTACAAGACAGATATTCAACAATTAATAAAATGGCAATAGGAAGAACTTCTCTCTTTACTTTAAAGTAAATACATTAAAATCCCCAATCAAAACCCATAGAGTGGTTGAAAGGACAAAAAAAATGTTTTTTTATTCAAGACCCGACTTTATGCTGCCTATAAGAAATTCACTTTAGCTTTAAGGACACACAGAGGCTGAAAGGAAGGGATGGAAAAGATACTGAACAAAATATGAGCAAACTAAATCAACAGCGTATTAAATGGATCATATCCTTGACCAAGTAGGAATTTTCCCTAGGATGCAAGTTCAGTTGAATATAAGCAAATCAATCAATGTGATACATCACATTAACAGGGTAAATGAAAAAAATACCTGATCATCCCAATAAATGCAGAAAAGGCACTTGACAAAATTCAACATACTCTCATGATTAAAAACTTGCAACAAAGCAGAATAGAAGGAAATTACATAACAAAGGCTCTATATGAAAAGCTCACAGCTAACATCATATTCAACAACGAAAAACTGAAACTCTTCTTCTAAGGTCAGGAACAAGACAAGGATGCCCACTCTTGCCACTTTTTTTTTTTTTAAGATTTTATTTATTTAAGAGAGAGAGAGAGCATGAGCAGGGGGAGGCGCAGAGGGAAAGGGTGAGGAAGAGAATCTCAAGCAGACTCTGTGCTGAGCGTGAAGCCCAACACCGGACTTAATCTCACAACCCAGAGATCATGACCTGAGCAGAAACCAAGAGTCGGTTGCTGAGCTGACTGAGCCACCCAGGCGCCCCGAAGCTGCATTTTAGATGTATAAATTGTATTTTCCATGGTGATATTGTAGAGGAGGAAAACCTTTTCCTTGACCATCTGAGGGTCCCTGCCCGAGTCTGAAAATTAAACTGAGAAAGACAGATTAATAGGAGAAAAGCACACAAATTTTGTTGAATATGTACATGGAAGCCTTCACAAGAGAATGAAGACCTGAAGAAGTGACCAGAACAGGAAGCTTTTATACCTATTGGACAAAGAAACAATGAATTTGTGAACAGTTGACAAGACAAAGGGGTTTAGAACTAGGACGAGGGGGTCCTTATCTTTCTTACCTAAGAGTTAGTTTAACAAGGTTTGTTTGCAAATTCTTCTGGTGCTCTCTCTGGGCCGATAAAAGTCTGTCGCCAGTAAAAGGATTTATTTCCTGCCTTCATGCAGAAAAGGAGGCCCTTTTTCTGTGTTTACGACTTCTTAATTGCCTTCAGCTCAAAATAATTTTTATTTCAAAGAGGCCTGTTTTGGGGTAACATTCTGGTTTCCTTCAGTATATTTCAGTTTGTATATTGGAATACAATAAAGTAAAAAAAAAATTAAAACTAAAAAGATATTTTTCTACTGCGATTAGCTCTCATCTAAAGGTTAGTTTGAATTCTAGAAGGAATACAATTGGCAACATTTGTATACACAGAATTTTACAGGAATTGGGAATAGAAAACCCCCTTTTATAAAAAGAAAAAAAAAGGTAACACTTACAAGTGCTTCAGCTGTACCAATTTATTTCATAATTGCATGACATTAGGAATGGTGATAGGTTCTTTGGATGGCTAGGGGGAACTTGAATCTTCTGGGAAGTTTTTAAAATCCCAGTCCAGATAAGATCAGATTGATAGGGGGGCGTGAAGCAAACATGAGCATTTTGAAAATGCTTCCTAGATGATTTTGCACCCAACTGTTGCTTTTGGCACTGAAGAGGCTTTGAAAAAAAGTGTAACAGTGGGTCCAAAAATAACATGAATTGAACTGTTTAATCAATATGTTCATTTAAAGTGAGAAAGCTTGATCTAAAATATATTTTATGTTTCAAAGTATACAATAGCCAATTTAAAACTCCGGATTCTAGTTACAGTCTATTTAGAGGATTTGTTCAGTGAGGACACCTTCAAATATTTTAACTTTTTTATATAAAATGAGATTTCCTATGGATATTTTAAAATAAAAATATAATTTTTAGCTGAGAAAACTTCTGGTCATAAAAATTTTCAAAAATACCAACATGGGGGAAAAATATCACCCCAAATCCTACAATACAGAAACATCCATTATAATACACTCACATAATTCTTTCCTTTGCTTAGCTGGCTTCCCCTTCCCCACCCCCATTTAAAAATTGTATCCATTTGGACATATAACAACTTACATACAAATATGCATGCAGTGAAACAAATTCAGTTTCTGATACGACTGGCAGTTGAGGCCCATCCTTCTCCCAGCCACACTTCCAATTCATTAAACTTGCAAAAACAGGTCCCTTGTATTAAACTGTTTCATTTTTGGACTCTGCTCATAGCATGATGGTGGGGTTTTACCATATGATGCATTTTATCTTCACAGTGTCAATGCAATTTGGCCCTCCCTGCAGTTTGTACTTAGTGGAGGCCATGCTGACAAGGAAATCATTCTCTTCCCCCCACCCCCTTCTCCATGGCTCCTGCTGTCATCTGGGCATCAAAACAATGATCTAATGGCTCCAAGTCTCACAAACTCCTTGAAATTCGCTTTTTCTGCCTCTGTCTAAAGCCCCTTCTCTTCCAAGAGCTCAAATCAAGTTAACAAGGCAGGCAAGTTATGGTGGAGATGCCATGCTTTTCTCCCTCTCCCTTCTTCCTTCTCCCCCACACTCTGCTTTCCCCCAAGTGCCCACACACAAACCTACTTCTCCAGCTTTCTTCCTCAATACAAACCAACTTACATAGATGGCTACTTACAGGCTCATTCATGCATCAGACACATCCAAACATGAATTCTGGTTTAGCTCAGCCAAAGATCCCACACTATCTAAGCATAGTTAGGAAGATCATTCTCTAGAAGATAAACAGTAAGAGGATGGGCTCCGGGACTGTTAATAGATTGCCGCTGAGTCACTTGTTTTTCACAGCCGATTTTTAAAATCATGACTCATCATTCAAGAGGAATTATCAGGATGTAGAAAATCATTGCTCAATGTATTTGGCAATGAAGATGGCCATTATGGTTTTTATGCAACTTTGCTTCTGTTATGTAATTCTTGTTCACATAGTGTTCTAACCAAGTTGCTGGGTAGCAAGCGCTGAGCAGAAAAGCACCTACAGGGGCTTTAAATGGTTATCAACCACAGCAAGGAATCAATCCACCCTGTGCTATGAAGCATGCAGGTTGAGAAATGCACTTGTGTCATGGTGCAAGAAGAGGAAGCAGAAAGAAAATGTGAAATGTTGGGGTTTGAGAGCAAACAGTCAAGAAAGAATTCTTGAGACATCTTCAGTGCAAAAAGGGGTGGTTTTGTTAAAACACGGGACAAGACTCGTGGGCAGAAAGAACTACCCTGGGGTTGTGAGGAGTGACTGATTATAGACTTTCAAGTTGGGAGGGGGTTAGGGATAGTGTTAGTCTCTCAGGAATTTGGAAGCAAGGTTTCTAGGACCTTGAGGGGCTAGCAGCTGTTAGGATAAGGTTGCTAACTACTGTCTAGTAAACAATGAGTCATGAGACCCTTTAGATGAGTATCAGTGGGCCATATGCTTGGAGGATGAATGCTAACATATATCTTGGTGAGGGGAAGGTAGAGATAAAGGAAGTTTCCAAAGGGATTTTTTTTTCTGGACAGCTTATAATTTTTATTTTAGGCAATATGTTTAATAGAGATACTGAGGATGACAGCAAAAGATGGGGCAGGGAGAATAAGCGAGAGGTGGTGTCTGAAGGATTCACCTTTGCAGAGTTGGAAGCGGTCCTTCCCAGTAGAAAGCTTGGAGCTGGGAGGCCTAGGTCTGATTCTGGCTTTATCCCTCCTCCAGGCACTTGGGAAACAAAAATGAACAAAATCAACATTGCTGCTATAGACATTGGGATGCACATATTCCTTCGGATCACTACATTTGTATCTTTGGGGTAAATACCCAGTAGTGCAATGGCTGGGTCGTACGGTAGCTCTGTTTTCAACTTTTTGAGGAACCTTCCATAATGTTTTCCAGAATGGCTGCACCAGCTTGCATTCCCACCAACAGTGTAGGAGGGTTCCCCTTTCTCCGCACCCTCCATTTGTCATTTCCTGACTTGTTAACTTTAGCCATTCTGACTGGTGTAAGGTGGTATCTCATTGAGGTTTTGATTTGGACTTCCCTGATGCCAAGCGATGTTGAGCACTTTTTCATGTGTCTGTTGGCCATTTGGATGTCCTCTTCGGAAAAATGTCTGTTCATGCCTTCTGCCTATTTCTTGATTAGATTATTTTTCCTTTTGGTGTTGAGTTTGATAAGTTCTTTATAGATTTTGGATACTAGCCCTCCAAAGGGATTTTTATATGTTAGAGAAGATGTACAGGATCCTGGAGGTCGGGCCAATGTCAAACTAAGTTTGCCTTTGCCCTTAGTGAAGTATTAACAATCGAGGCAGTTGAGTTCCTGGAGGAAGGTTACCCTACCTGTCTTAAGTACTTGTCAATGGGCTGCAAAGGAAATGTAATATTTTTTCTATATTTCTTTTGCCTTTGTTCTCCACTTGAGAAAATCTAGTCCTGCCAGTGGAAGCACTGAGGCCAAGCTGCCCCTAAGTTGCAGAATCCAACTGAGAACACAGGCAGTTTGATTCCTGCATTTGGGATCTTAAATTACCAAACTGGGTGAAAGATGTCCCTCTTGATGGTTATATTATGTCTTCCCCATTCTTCAGGCCGAAGGCAGATGCCTAACCGACTGAGCCACCCAGGTGTCCCCCCTTTCTGCCTTTAAAAGCCTTTCTTTTTCTACAGCTCAGTGGAGCTCTTTTCTATCTGCTAGATGGGATGCTGCTCAATTCATGAATTGTTGAATAAAGCCAGTTGTCTGGAAAATTAATATGTACAATTTATAACTCAATTTCCTGTATCCAGGAGATGCTCATCTAGTATTTACTCAACTAGACTGAAATAGGATCTTTCCCTAGTAACATTTTCTGGAGTTTTGACCTGGCTTAATAATGTTAATTCCTAGCCATTTTAACTGCCTAAAATTTTCTTCTTATTGTCTTTGTTTAAAAATGTCAGTAGCAGCCAGATTTATCAAACATTTATCAAGCATTTTTCATTTGTTCATTGTTACATACCCATCAGTTTTAAGTTCTTTCTTATAACCTGAAAGAAAAGCAGGGACATTTATCGCAGGACTATTTCCCATCTACAGTCAAGGTTAGGCGCCACTAAGAAATGGTTCTGTTTGCAATTGTTTTTATTTGGCACTTGTACTTCTGTCTGTAGAATGAAGATGATGCTAAAATATTAACAGTAGAGAAAAAAATAAGTAGAGGAAGCTGGTGGTAACCACTCCAGGATGTAGCCACTTAATTTAGGAAAGGGACAGGAAAAAGAGGTTTAGAAACATTTTGAAAAAAGAGCTGTCAGGCACCAAATTACATCCTTAAACAATGCAGAAAATGCTCAGCGCCCTGAAAGTATTTAGGAGTGACTTTTTCAGCCTCTTTGGAAGGAAAAGTGGGGATAAAATGCCTATCAGCAGGGTAAAAAGTTCATATTTGTCATCTGTAGAAAAAATAATAATAATAAGCCACTGAATCAGTATTCAACTTGTACAGAAACTTCTCTCTTATCTCTCATCTCTTGATGTCCATCGCACCCGTATGCCATGACCCTAAAGCTAAGGGATGTCAGTGACCTTACTTACTAAAATCACTGACCGGGACAGCCCCTCTTTTGTGTACCCAATTTACAAGACACTTGCAGTCTGGAAATTATAATGGGTGGCAGCTTATATAAAGGGCAGGCAAGTGAGTAGAAGAAAGGATGGGCAAACAGCACAGAACTGTGTTCTAAGCAATCAAAATGAGCTCTACAGGCATCAAGCCCAAGCCCAGGATTTCTGGGGAATACCTACCCTTTCTTTGGTTCTGTAGCAATTTAAACTCTCTATTCTGACACCTATAGACCAATTGGTAAGTTTAACTACCAACACAACCTACACACAATGATGGAGGGAAAGAATACCAAAGAAAAGAAAAATTAGTTACAGACATAAATATACGGAATAGTTGGATAATAAGCTAAAACATTACCCTACACATTTTTCTTCTGAGAAAATATTTAATCTAGTAAATCTTCCATCACTCTATTTATTCCAAGAATCTAAGGCTTAATGCTCAAGGGAGGAAAAATGAAAATATTGAAAGATCAAAGAGTAAAACGTGTGGCTTTTGAGGTCTCGAGTAGACATAGACCATAGTCTTCAAAGCCAAAAAATTGTAAGATCTCTGCGTCTGGGAGAGGAAAATATTTTAAAATATTCAAAAACTTGGTTTGGAAAATTGAAAGACACACTGCAATAAAAGGGCAACCGGCTTATTCAAGAATAACACATTGGAATAAGAATTGTAATAATGTTGAATTAGTTCCTACCCAAAGAAGTAAAAAGTCTGAAGAACTTGCATAGTGGCTTGTTGCAAGGGCCAACACCACCCTTCCCCCCAGGGGGTGAGTCGCCTATTTGATGGGTGGGGTGGTATGTGGAAATATTTGGTAATAGAAACTCAAAACAGGTTTACAATTACCAGAGCAGAGGAGATGATGTTTAAGGTTTCCAGAATGTAGCTCCTGATCTTGCAAACCTTGTAAGGGAGTTATGTGTCGCCATTCGGACCTGAGTTGTAGAGTAGCAGCGGCTGGGGGAAGGGTCTGGGGAGGTGAACCCGCGGATTGGCTCACTGATTGACACACTAGACTAGAGTATCTGTGAGTCTCTACTGCCACACTGCAGGGATCAGAGAGACCTGAGAATGAACCAAAGGACCCAATGGAATCCAAGTTGGGATGGAGAGGTTGCCAATGGTATCAGAAACAGCTAGCTGCCTACTAAAAAGCTTGTTTCCCTACAGAGAGGTGATGTTCCAGCCGCTGGCCGCATTTCCCAGCGTCTCTGGCATATATATATATGGCAATATGTCTAGATATTGCCAATGGAATGTGAGCACAAATGATTAAAAAGAAGGAGTGCGCTCCCCATACTCTTTCCCCTTCTTCTGGCTGAAAGAAAAGACGCCAAGGTCCTAGAGTCCTGGTTTCTGCATCCAGTTTGCCAACCATAATGAATTCACAAGGCATACCTAGAATATATTAAATATTCACAGGAAATAGTAATATCAGTAGAACACACCATAATGAACTTTGAAGGGTGTATTTGGGATATCATAGATTTTTGAAGAAAACATAGTGCCATCCCAGGACACTGAACAAACTGCTATTATTAAATTGTTTGGCCCTAACTACTAAATAAAAGGAACCATCAGATATTTCTTTTGGTCTGCAGCCCCAAGAATATATTACTGAGACTCTAAGGACACTGTTTACCAAGAAAATTTGGGAACCTCTGCCTTAGGGAATGGTGGAACCACAAGATGTAAGGAGGTGGGGTTTCTAAATTTCTAAATGAAGGAAAGCCACATACATATTATGAACTCCCACATCGAACAGAGATATGAGCCGGACATAAACTTCTGTTGTATTAACCCACAGAATTTTTGGAGTTTGTCATAGTAGCTAGTATGACCCTAACTAAAAAAAAAAAAAAGAATCTAGACCCAAGGCCAAGAACCACAGATAAAAGACCAGAAGAGATAAACCACATGTCCGTGGAGACCACCAAGCCAAGAGGATGACTCACAGAGTAGATGCCTCTTATCCAGTACCAGGTCAATATATAAGCCCCCTGAAACCAAGATCAATGTCAAGGAAATGGGAGAAGGATATGGAGGAGGCAAAGGATACTAAGGACTTAGCCCAAATGAGACTGAGTAATCTAAAATTTGACATTCTAAAGTCTCTACCATCGGTGGATAAGTGTTTGAATGCTAAGTATACCTTTTGAAAAAGAAATAAATTGACATTATGTACATTTTGTTCTGGAACTGTAACATTTTGAATCCATCATAGATATGTTACAGCAAGAAAAGAAATACAGAGGTCACTGTCTCTGTTTCTATAACTGGTCACCCAGCTATAGCCTGGGGCCAACATCTCAGCTGGCTGGGGTTGTGTATCTATTGGGCTGAAGAGCTTTAGTCCCTGGTGGTGCTGCCTAGGTGAGGGGACAGCACATTCATTAATCATTTTGGTAGGCCATGGTGAGACCAGAAACTTCCCTGAGCTCCTTCTACCACTCCCTCCTACTACTGTGTAGCTGTATTTCCATTCCGTTGTCAAGCTCAATCACTCTAACCAGCACTATAATCCTATTCATGCCCATTTTTTTTCCCCAAAGAAGTCCAGTGAAGACCAGGCAGCAATTTCAAATTCCAATTCAATGAAACTACTATTGTGTCTCTTGGTGGAAACATGCTTCTTCCCTTGCTCACTGAAACTTCTAAACCAGGAGAGTCCAGATCCATGAAAAAGTAGTATCAGGAATAAGGTAATAAATGGATGGGAAGTAGCCCCAAACCACACATGTCTACTAGAAAAGTGATAAAAACCATTTCATAGTCCACATCTTCTGTGGTCCTCCTCCCCTCAGCTTTGGTGTGAGTTTTGCTGCTCATTTCCCTCCCAGATAAGTAAACCATGCCAATTTAAAGAAGGCAAGATTTATCATCATCCAATCCAGTGATTCTCAACTGAGGACAATTTTGCCCCTTAGGGGAACATTGGGTAGTGTCTGAAGTCATTTAAAATAGTCACAACTTGGAGGGAGGGGTGATAACTGGCGTTTAGTGGACACCGGCCAGTGGATGCACAGGACAACCCCCCACAACAAAGAATTGTATGGGCCAAAATGTCACAATGCTGAGAGTGAGAAACCCTGATCAAATGAATTTGTCTATTTGCATAATTTGCTTCCCCCACTAGAATGCAAGCTTTGTGAGAGCAGGGGCTTGTCCATCTTGTTTATTACTCTATGTCTGGAACATGGAAGTCAACAAATATTTGATGACTACATAAGAGATGAATGAGTGCCTCATAGCTCACATCAGGTATTTTTATATATGTGCTCACATCCAAACACTTGGCTCCTTGGATTGGGAGGGTTAGTAATGGTACAAGGTTGCATGACTTAAATATCTGGGGTGGCACAACTTCTTTGAATGTCCTAATGTAGCTCTCTTCCCAACATGATTTTCCTTCACTTTAATTTTCTACCTTGAAGAAAAATGTGCAGTTTTTACAATGTCCTCAATTCCTTCATTCATTAAGTGATATTATCATCCAGACACTGTAATAGGTGCTGTCACCACACAAAATGATGACTTAGGACTTGTGTTCAACAATTTGCCCAGAGATTCGATGTTCTAGATTCTAGATCTAGATTCTAGATCTTTTCCAACAATTATAAATCTCTTTCCCCCCTCTAGGAAAGTGCCTCTCGTCCTCCCTTTTCATCTCCCCTTGACACTTCAGTTAAGCTTGGAAGAAAGACCAGGAGAGAAGAGGGGGGTGCCTAGCCCCCCAGCTCTGTAGTAGTGGCTGGTCCCGTCCTGGGTTCCCACACTGTACCTTCACCATAGCTCTATAACAGCACTAATGGGGCACCTGTTTGTTTATATGGCTCTGTCCCTTCCCACCTGCGGGAGGTCATGCTCTTGATGGTCTTCATATCCCTGGCACCTGGCACACGAGATGGGCTCAATAAATGCTTATTGAAAAAATAAAATGCCTTTGGCCTACTTCACAATGTCACCTAGGGCACCCTCTGCCAACTTCACAATGTCACCCAAGGCATAGTTTTGTCTACTTCACAATGTCAACCTGCCCAGCACAGAAATGGGGACTTCCCAGGGGCTCAGAAATAGATCTAGTTTCAGCCCCGTCTGAATCACAGTCTAGTGGTGGCCCCAGCCAATGAAGAGAAAAGCAAAGGCTCGGAAGTCTTGGACTACGGCAAATGGATTTAGGTTACACAGCCTGAGATGGAGGAAGAGTAATCACTGAGGGATAAGGGACCCGTGAAGCCCACTGCACAATGGCCAAGAACCAGAGCTGCGCGTAGGCAGGGGCATGCATGTCACCGCTGCTCAGGGTGCCTCATCCCCGCCGCTACAGACAAGTGGCCCGGTGGCCGACGCTGGCGACAGAGGCTAGCGGTGTTGACGCGAACGGGTTTGCTCAAACCTGGGGCCGCAAACTGCCCGACGAGCGCGGAGAAAGTGGCACGCGACCTCGCCGGACCGCAGAGGCGCAGCTGGGGAACTTTCTCAGCCCAGCCCCCAGGGTGCTAGAGGGTCAGAAGGACCCGCCTTGGCCAGCGGGGCGAAGGTTGTTCCCAAGGCCACGTGAGGCGTCGTCGCCCCTAAAAGCCCCAAACCCGCAGGGCTAATGGCAGAGTAAGGACGCCCGGACCTCGGAGACGCGGCGCCCCGCTGCCGGCTCGAGAGGCGCTCCAGCAACAGCTGCCTCGTCCAACCCAGGGGAGGTCGCGGCCGCCGAGCCATGCCCCCCCGCAGCCGGGACGGGCGCCCCGCGCGGCCCGCGCCCCGCACCCCGCCGCCGCCGCCGCTGCTGCCGCTGCTGCTCCTGGTGGCCGCCGCGGTGCCGCCGAGCCTGGCAGGTGAGCCGTGCGCGCCCGCACGACCCGGGGAGTGCGAGTCCGGAGAGAGACGGGGCCCTCGGCGACCGCCCGGCCCGCGCTGCGCCCGCCGCCGCCGCTCCGTGCGCCCCCGCCCGCGCCCGGCTCGGCCAGGTGGACCGCCGGCGGGTGGCGGGCCTCCGGGTGGACGCGGCGGGCCGCGCGCCTGCGGGGGAGGCGGCACGGACCCGGCTCGCTCCCGCGCCGCCGTAGCTCGGGGACGGCCCCGGGAGGGGCCGGGGCCGTGCGGCTGCGAACTTCAGCGTGGGCCAGAATGCTTGGCGAACGCATCGGTGCCCTCCGGCGACTCTGGGCTTGCGGAGCCTCGGCTGGTCGGAAAAGAGCAGCCAAAGGACATCTAAATATATTTATTCACATCATAGAGGGATGATTCAGGGCTGTCAGTTTGCTTGGTTTTTTCCCCCCTTAGCTGCCCATGAGTTTGGTTTAAAATAAGTGCAGCCTGGTATTGTCAGCTTGATGCGGGCCAGGCAGCGTGCTAAAGGGCTTTTCATACAGTGCTTACTGTAACTCTAAATAGGACTGTTATCCCCATTCTACAGAACATTCGAAATTGGGAGAAATTGTGAAGGCAGAGCTGGATTGCCGAACGGTATTTACTTAACTACTCCCCTCTTCGTAAAACAGGTTCTATTCCTACAAAAAAAAAAAAAAAAAAAAAGGTCCCGTATTTGTCAGTTTTCTTCCCAATGGATAAGAGCAAGATTAACCAAAGAAACTTATGGAAAGACTTCAACAGTAATCTTAAGAGAGAATTAAGTTTGTTTTACTTCCTCAGCCCTTTTCTGTGCTGACCTTGTGCAAGAAGAGGGTGGGGTTCGGTGGAGGGAACCCCTTCCCAAATGAGTGTCCAGATTCTTACTATACCACCTGCCATCAACAAGTAACCGCAATTAGCAGATTTCAAGGCCTTCCCTTTTGCAACTTGCCGGCCTACCACTCTTAAATCTTTCCAGTCTTTGAAACTGCCTGGGCCTCTGGGATCCATCCGAAGGCATGCACCCCTAGGCTCCTGACTCTGGATTTACCTGCACATTCTGTTCCTTGCCTGCCCTGTGGAGGGGGCTTTCCAGCCACCCTTTTAGCCCGGGGAGCCTGCTCCTTCAGACATACCCGGGACAGGCTAGGAAGTACTCCTGAAACAGAAATGACTCTTTGTGTCTGGAATGTTGAGTGAAACCCTTCTAACTTTTCTGTTCTTTCGGATTGTATGGATTGTTTTAAATGTTCCTTAGATGGAGGGGACAGCCTGAGGAGTAAGGTGGAGATACTGTTTTTCTGAAGATGAGGCACTGTTCATTCAAGAAGAGAACACCTGGCAAGAAACAACTGCTTAAATTGAGTTCCCCCAGATACTCAGCTGAGGCCAGGCCAGTGTGGTCAGGAGTCAAGGCAAAGACTGAGGGCATTTCTGTGGCCGGTGATCCTGACGGCACGGGGCTGGGCAATCCAGAAAAGACTTCTTACAGCCTTGAGGAACAGCTGGTGAAGCCCACGCCACTCTTTCAAACAGACGTGAGCTCTGTCTCCTTTGTTGCACCCATAGTAACCTGTTTTCCAGGTTACTATGGGTGCAATTTTTGGCTTTGTTTTACCCTTCTACTAGACTGCCAACAACATGCGGGCGGAGAACAGGGCCTTTGCCACTTCTTGTTTGTCATGTTTTCTTTGAAGTGCCCAGCTCCATACTCTGAATTTAACGGGTACCCAACACACACCAAAGGGATTGCATTTTCATCTCCCTGGAATGATCTTTGTATCTACCAGTGTGCACCTATGAATCCAAAAACAACTTCTTTAATTTTTAAAGGTTACTTTGAAGTTTCAATTTGCCAGAAATATTGGCCAACAATTGCACATTCCTCCCAACCTGTCTTTAAAACTAGTATGGACTTCAGACATATAATAGCACTGCCTTTATCCTTCCAGACTGGAAAGCCCCATATTTGTTTTTAGGATGTCTTCTGTAATTTTTCTTGGTGGTGTGTATCGTGAAGTCACATCACTAGGGTAAGAGACGGGTCGGTTACCCAGAGACTTACAAGGTGCCATGTGCCTTAGAGAAAACTGGTTCCAAATCTGGCCCCTGGACTTGCAGGGCTAGATTCTAGAAATGCATTCCTTCTCGTGCTCCAGAGCCAATCAGATACAAAGAAGCTGATTCACCCTGATATACATGGAAGTCTATTCACCAAAACACCAATAATGAATTTTAGTAGACAGGACATTTGCATAGCCTGCCCCAGCCACTTTCTTGTAACCAAATTACACAAGATGGATCACATCAGGGATTCTCAGGCTGGAGGCCTGCTTGATTTGCTTCCTAGGAGGACTGATGCTTCAGTTAGCCTCTGGGTGCTCATACTGGACGGTCCTCCCTAGCACAGCTAGTCCTTGACTCAGGGACACTGCTTTTTCCATGCTCCCATGGCTCACCAGTGCCCACTGGAGACTAACACATTGCCTCTCTGGATAGGCCAGTACCCTTATGTGGTTGTGGAGGAGTTTGCCGACCTGGGAGTTGTTCAGTCTCCTTACGGTGACTTGGTAGGCCTTTGGTGGAGGCTGTTCCTCAATTGATCCTTTGACTCGGAGGGCATTCTCATTTCCAAATTCACTCGAGGTGGTAGTCCATTCTTTCTGTGGCAGTTCATTTTTGGAAGTCTCTACTAGAGAGGTAGTATGGAATTCCAGAAACAGAAAGCATGGAGCCTGACTGCCTGTTTGAATCCTGGCTCCAGTACTTACTGTGTGACCTTCAGCCAGTTATCTACTATCCCTACACCTCAGTTCCTCATCTGGAATGTGGGGATTGTAGTATCTGCCTCCTAAGGTGGTTGTGTGGAACAGGGCCTCGTATACAGTAGGGGCTGTATAATTGAGTGACCGTTATTATTGGCCATTGGAGTTGTTTTTTCTCTGGAAAGGCAGCACGGATCTTTGGATAAGGCAACCAGGACTGCAGATGATAATCTATGTGCTGTGAAGTAATAACTTGTTATAAAAGCAGGATTTTTCCTTAACCGAGGCCCAGCATCGCAGGCATTTGGGGTACACAGCAGCACGTTAAGCCAGTGCTTGAGGAAACAGTGAGCAGAGCCCTAGGTCGCTTTCCTGGGTCACGACTGATCGATTGAAATCACCTTGATTTTTCTAAGTGCAATTTTATCAATCATGCTCGCTTTAGCATTTCCCAACTCTTCTCAGTCTTTCTGAGCCCCGCTAAATCTTCCTACAGCACATCCCCATTGTCTAAGCGTTTCAGACCCAAAAGAAGTCAGTGCCGTCTGTAAACCCGAATATTTTCTCGTGCTCTCCCTCTATCAGTTTGTTTATAAAAATGTATACAAGATAAGTTCCGGAACAATTTCTGGGGGAAGTGTCCATTCATCTTTATCATTAAAATTTGTTTCCTAGTCCTTCTAGAAATGTGAATCTGATGGCAAAGATCAAAATCTTTCTCCAGAAGAAAATTTAAAGGATCCTCCTTCAGTCTTTAAATTGAGGTAGAGCATTTAAAAAAAAACTTTTCATAGTAGATAAACTCCAAATCACGTGAGCTTCAGCTTGGAACTTCTGACATGCAGAACAGAAAGTATTGTTTTCACACTTTTTCAGGCATTATTTTAATTTTTGTCACCTGTCATCTTTTGTTGTTGTTTTTTTTATTCTAAATTATCAAGCATTAACTATTGAGATAGCAAGTTAGGCAGCAGCACCAAAAATGGAATGACTCTCAAAGGATTTATTTTGTCCAACATTTTAAGTTTTTTAAAATGCATTTATGCTTTGTCTTTTTTTTTTTAATGGAGTAAGTTCCAGTTGCTCCTAAAACTTGTATTTTACAATCACATGAAAATTGCACTTTAAGATGTAGCTAGAAAATTTATAAATGCTTTATGTTGTTTTTTTGCAGTACTGCAACACAGGAACTTACTCAATGGGGTAGAAGATGAAACTAAGAGAGGTAGTGAAAATGTGAGGAAACTTTAATCTAGAACTTGAAACTCTGTCTGCACCAACAACAGATATCATGTTACAATCTTCCAATGGGAAATTGTGAAAGTCTCTTGATTTAGAGCTCGCTCTGAAATGTGTCAGTTAGCCTTGCAAATGAGTTACCATCCTAGCACCTGAGGTAGTGGCGAGTTATTCAAACCAGCATTTGCAAACACAAGATAGCAAAATTCGAACCCACAATCCGAAATCAAGAACGAATACACATAGACTCAATACCGATCTGTCTCCTTCCTAGCTGGTGTGAAAATTTGGGATGTAGGCAAGAAAACACTATTCGGCCCAAAGGAGTTGATACAATGAAAGAACAGATGCCTCCCCGTGATTCTCAAGGAGCTTGTAATTAAATTTTTGAACCACGTACATACAAAGACATATAACTAAAGAGTGACGGGGATGAGGAGTGAGCAAGGAGCATCGAATGAGAACGGAGCAAAGTTGACTTTCTGTTGATAGGACTTTTAGCAAGAACTCTGATTGAAGTTAGCAGTGCAGACAGAATAGTTCGTTCCGAGGGGATGAAGGAAAGGTATCACTCCAGATCCAAGCAAATCTCCAGCATTTTTCTGTATAAGCGTTTTGTTTCTGTGACGCTATTTTTTTTAAAGTGGCATCCCTTTCTACTTACCTAATATATTGGCCACAGTATGCCTCCCACCTCACATCCTCTCACTGCTGTCTATGTGAGCTTTAGCGTCTGTAATGTGAGGGCCCTCACCCTAGCCACCCTGCAGGGATGCCTTGCTTTCTACCTCAAGCTTCTCCCGCATCATAACCATTTCACACCGGAGCACCTGCCAACCTGGGAAGAGGGATTTTAACCCCTCGTAGGGCAACTTTTGACCAACGTGGGATGGATGCAGGTAGTTAAATGCTCCTTCTTCCATCCCTGGGATGGGATCCTCAAGGGCTTATCCGCAATGTGGGCCATCTCAGATTGCACC